CAAAATAATGTAATTACGATTTACGATTTATAATTTAACGATTACGATTACAAAAACATCTGGAATTGTTTCAAGGACCATAGTTCAATTGTTAATAACGTCCCAAATGCCCAAGTTCATTAGATTGTCACCTTATCAGAACAAAATTTAGTATCAGTGGCGTAGCCATAGTAGATAACGCAATAGTTCTCCAAAATAAAATTAATATCAAGAACAATTTAACAGAACTGCAATATTAATACATACATATACGTATATATGTATATTAAAATATGTTAAGAAAAAAAAACTTGATTTCACTTTGCCTAAGCTTTATACTGTATAGTTTATACTTGAAACATATATTGTTTAACTAAACTATAGTATATGTATATGTATTTATATACATTTATATGGTAAATAAATATTACCAAATGATATTTGTATAAATTTTTTTTAGTTAAATAAATGTACTTAAAATCGCATAGATTTTAATGGAAATTTTATGGAATTATATATAATAAGAGGTAAAGGTGGGGTAGGCTACCTTTCCTTTCATTCAAAAAAATACCGATTATTTCAAAAATTTCAAGAATCTTTTGTTATTGTTATTTTTTTCGTCTTAAGTAATGTATATAAGTATTGTTGACATTTTATTATTGACATTTAATTATCTAAAATGAGAACATCGTCATGTGGCTAACAATAAACAAACTCAATAAAAAATTTAAGTAAAATTATATTTCAAAAAAAGGAAAGAAAGAGATTCTGAGCCTTTACAAACATCAATTTTATTGGTTTTAACAAAAAATGATCAATTCCAATATACCAATTCGAATACCATATAACATGAAAAAGTATAAATCTATTTAAAAGGTTGCGCTTTACGAATATATTGATAATCTATCCAACAATGTGGTCAACAAGGTGATTTTTGGAGAATCGTTAATTAAATCGCTTTTTATTTTAGATGTACTAATGCAATGTATTTTGAGTTTGCTTTTAATGTAAAATCCAAGACAATTATATTGTTATACTCATTTTCAAAATTAAGTTATTACCTAAACGTTATTAATTTTTTAAATTGAGTTATTAAGACGTAGAGTTCAATAATACAATATTACAATATTATTATTGTTCATATTTCTTATAATTCTAATTTTTAAGGTAAATTTTTTCTTGCCGATAATGGCGTGTCTTTATCGGCAAGAAAAAATTTACCTTAAAAATTAGAATTATAAGAAATATGAACAATAATAATATTGTTCAGCTTTTCCTTAACGCGATTAGCGAACTTGTAGAGAAACATTTGCATAGCTTCTTTGTAAAATTGCACCCAAAAAAGGCGCTTTACATATAGTAAGTTAAAAAAATATGCATATCAGATGTCTCTACAAAAAGAATAGCTTTGAAACAAAAATAGGCAAGCTCAAAGATTAACTTTCAAATTGTTGAACTTGTGTTTCCAAATAAAGCTGTAGTTTATAAGCTCGTTCTAATTTAAAGCACGGCAAGTGCTTTGGTTGGTGTCACTAATTAAATAAAAATAAGTGTCAATAAAACCTGGAACTTGAGCATTGAATGTTTGTGCAGCCTTGGCTTCTTGTGGATAAAGACGATTAGTCATCGCTTCTAATTTGACAGGCACGAGTTCTAAGCCTGGCACTTGCAGTCCAAACAAATTATATACGGACTATAAACTAATTAAATAAAAATTCGATTATTTCCAAAGACCACTGATGAAGAGTACTTGGCAATACTCGAAACAGCGTTGTATGGTCAGCCAAATTTCAATAAATTAAATAAAAAACTTTTGTCTTTGCCTTTCTTTGCTATTCGAATCGGTCTAACTTTTAAATAGTTTCTTTCGTCATAAAAAGACACACCATTATCGGCAAAAAAAAAAAAAAAATTTACCTTAAAAATTAGAATTATAGGATATATGAACAATAATATTGTTCAGCTTTTCCTTAACGTGATTAGCGAACTTGTAGAGAAACATTTGCATAGCTTCTTTGTAAAATTGCACCCAAAAAAGGCGCTTTACATATAGTAAGTTAAAAAAATATGCATAACAGATGTCTCTACAAAAAGAATAGCTTTGAAACAAAAATAGGCAAGCTAAAAGATTAACTTTCAATTCGTTGAACTTGTGTTTCCAAATAAAGCTGTAGTTTATAAGCTCGTTCTAATTTAAAGCACGGCAAGTGCTTTGGTTGGTGTCACTAATTAAATAAAAATAAGTGACAAAAACCTGGAACTTGAGCATTGAAAGTTTGTGCAGCCTTGGCTTCTTGTGGATAAACACGATTAGTCATCGCTTCTAATTTGACAGGCACGAGTTCTAAGCCTGGCACTTGCAGTCCAAACAAATTATATACGGACTATAAACTAATTAAATAAAATTCGATTATTTCCAAAGACCACTGATGAAGAGTACTTGGCAATACTCGAAACAGCGTTGTATGGTCAGCCAAATTTCAATAAATTAAAAATAAAAAATTTTTGTCTTTGTCCTTTCTTTGCTATTCGAATCCGTCTAAAATATTAATATTTACATAAAAAAATATAACATACTTATATATATGAATATTTTTCTGTGAAATTGTTACTAAAACCTTGAAGAGATTTCCAGACTCGACTCGATCACTTGTTCCGGCTTACCATCTGTACTTAAAGCATCTGTAAATACAAAAGTATGTTATTGTATACGCTAAAGTTAATTATGTACAATATACCATACCAAAAAGTGCTGCTGTCACATTCTCTAACGCTCTTAAGGACTTCTTGCCTTGGGTACCATTCTCCAAAATTCCAGGAAATTTTTCGCGTAATTGGTTGTTTTTTAATAACGCGTCTCATTGATGCAGTCTATAAATAACGTAATAGATGAAAAGAAATGTATGAATTAGTAAAATTGTTACATGTGAATATATTAATAAGTTGAAATTGAAAGTAAGAAACATATATAATTTAACTTACAACTACTTCAACGGCAGTGATTTCTTCATTAAATTGAATTAAATCCTCCTCAGTTTGAATTGTAAAATTTTCCAATTGAAACAGCTGACTACATGACTACAGCTGATTACCCCTTGCTTTAGAATGACTGCATTCGCAGCACATTGGTCAATTAATCGTTCTTGACGCAGTAGCATCTACATAATACAAAACAAAAATTACAATTATCATTTTAAATATATTTACTTAATTTTGCATATACTTACAGTGAGTTTATGTGAAATTACAAATTATATTTTATTTATATTTTTGTTTTTTATTTGATTTTAAAAATTAAAAATTGTTCACTGTTCGCACTTCACTAAAATCAAAAGCAGACTAAATGTATACAATGTAGGCAAAACAAGAAATTCTTAACTCATATGCTTTTCTTCTTCATTCTTTTATAATTTCAACCCCGAAATTGCCTATGTCAAACACAAATGTCGAAAACAAAGAAAAATAAAAACGAAGAGCTATTACCTCCTCGCTTACTTTTTCAGCGCTGGCATAATGGTGCCGCTGGGTAGTTGACATCAAAAAAGGTTTCCCCGTTGAAATATTTATCGATGAATATGTGATATGACGACATTGGGTCATACAAGTTATGTTAACATTTGTTTAGCTAAAAATGCTGTTGACATACTTATTTTTAAAAAATAAAATTGTAAAAATAAAACACAATTCAAATCACAGAGGTTATTATGCGTAATCCCTTTCATTTAATTCATTATTTTTATTCTTTATTAAATTGTGTGGTGAATTATGATAACAAAATTGTATTTTATGACACTTTACGAACTACAATGATTATTTTCGATAATACCCTATACTGAAAATAGTTGATGTCAAACTTTCCTTCATGCCGAAGCTCATTTGTTTAGTCACATTATACTATACCTAACTGTATGGCAATTAAATCTCTATTTTATAATTTTTAATTTCGATCTGCGTTTACACTTTACAATTATTTCTCTGCGAATTTTGTGCAAATATAATTAAATGTTTTCACTACAGCAAGGACTTTATTTCTTTCATCATTTCAAATTAACTTTCGTAAGGATAACAAATTTATATTTATCGCCAATATATATTAAATGAAAATTTTTGTTGAATTGAACTGTATATATACAATATATTAGATAAGATTAAAAAGTAAATAAAGCATTTTTATGATTGTTTTAAGAAAACAATCAAACGAAAAACAAAAAGACATGCAAATTTGATTAAAATAGCTCAGCACAAAGAGCGAACAATTAACAAATTTAAATCACCGTTTAACTCTCCGCTCTATACACAAAAAACTTTATATTAGGCATTGTTTCATGTTTGTTTTTAATTTTCGTTTTAATAATTGAACTTTCAAAAATTTCTGTCATTCTTAAGAATTCTCCAAAATATTGGTATAAAGTCGAACTATTGTGAATTACAAACTTGATTTTGTATAAATTAAGATTCATTTGAAATTAACAATTATATTCAAAAATATTTTATTTAATTTACAAAAATCATAATTTTATAAGATTCTCTATATTTAAACTTATAAACATATTTTTAGTTTTTAAATCAAACAATTTATATTTATTAAGTACTTTTCATTTTTTATATTAATCACAATATAAAAACACATCCACACAAGAAGGTGCACTTCATCTCATATTTTCATGTTAGACTAAAACGTGTTCCAAAAAGAGGGTTGCTAACATGAACTTTATTTTTCTTATGAATATTACTACAATATTATATTAGACTGTACATAAAAATTAGACATATATTTATTATATTTAAATGTTAATAGATGTTTTCCTAATGATTATGTATATTACTTTGAAATTTATACCTGTTTCTAATATTGATATTCATTTTGTAACTACTACTAATTTATATTTACACTCTTCCACACTGTTTGAAACCATAACGCATGATGATAAAATTTTCGCTGCACGGTGAAAAAGGAATTGCGATAAATATATTTTATTTCAAAATTTTGTTGTATTAAATGTTTTTATGGAAGAAAATACTTTATATTCTAGTTTGTATATAAAACCAAAACATTTTATATTAGTTTGGTAATTCGGTTTAACACTTTTCTCATGAAGCAGAGTGAATGAATATTGCAAAAAGAATTGTTAAGAATTAAAACAAAAAAGTGATAGAAACAAATAAATGTGCGTCGCAAGCAAAATTTTTATATGTTTACTAAAAGATTGTGTTATAATAAAATAATATTACACAATACGAAATAAGGACTCTGCCCATGTATGACGAAGTTAAGACACTGAAAGCCGGATTTCAATTAAATCTTCATCTTTACTCGTAACATATTTACTTTTCTGCAAAATAATATTTGCGTCGATTAATAGTTTTTTGTTTTACCAAAACTTCAAAATTGCGCCACATAATCTGAAATTAACTACCTCCATGCCCGTCTCTGCGATCCTTGAACCGTATTATAATGATGTTAACGCAGCGTTACGTGAATCTTTTAGCAGAAGTTATGTCGCTTTAAATGATTCAAAACCTGGAAGTTCTTCATTAAAAACGAAAAACTCTAAAAGTGCTGATAATATACATAGTAAGTTAATATCATCAACAAAGCGTATACTTATCTCATCATTAGAATACGAAGAAATAAAAAACTATAGTGAAAACATATTGGATCCATTGAAAAATAAATATGCAGTTTTAAATCAAATGGTCGAAAGCTTTAATATGGATAATGGAAGTGTTTCTCCTACCCCACGTATTAAAAATGGTCTTAACGGAGGGGCCACCGGTGAGTTCAAAACAGGATTTTTTTCAATATATGTTTATAACTGTGTGCATGATTATTATATTGGCATGCTTTCGTACAAAAAAAGAGTTGCCATGTTTAAAAAATATATTTAAAAACGTGTTGGTTATGTGGGTAAATGAAGAAGGGAACTCTGTAAAATTAATAATTCTTAGCAAATGATTATTTTTTTTGCTCTTATATATTATTATGCTTCAATTTCAAACAAAACGACTCATTTATGGTTTAATTATTTATGTTATGTTATGAAAAAAACCAAATACAAAATATAATACATTTAAGTACACAACTGAAGCACATGTTTGTCAATATTGTGTATATGTGTATTTTTTTCGCTTTTATATCTTTAAATATTTAATAGCAACATTCTCAGAGAAAATATCTTATTAGCTTTTTATATAAATTTTCTTATCACACGTTAAGAAGATGAACATTTAATATTAAATTTTTTTTTTTTCCCAAATCTATTTATTGATAAAGAAAAATATTTCCTAATTTATGATTAATATACAATAAAATTAACAAATTACTTGTGTAAAACGACGTATATAGTGATAAAAGTTATGACAAATCCGTCATGAAGAATTCTACATATCATTATTTCAGCATTTGGCTAACTTATAAATTTTTTCTTATCTCTCTGTACATTTTTGTTAAGGTTTTATTAAAAGAAATTTGTTCTTCAATTTTTACTTTTAAAACTTTAGACTCAAAAAAGTTTCAGCACATTCCTTCAAATAATGATGGAAATGTTAATGGAAGCAATTCCCATATTCATAAATATAATTGCAATGTATTTGAGCTGCCTAAACCCAAGAGAGTACTTTTTCAACGTGACGATGTAAGAGTTGGATGGAAAAACGGAACGCATAGATGGCAAATTGGAGTCGGTATGTTAAATGTTGGTAACACATGCTATCTTAATTCTACGCTGCAGGCGCTTTTTCATTTGCCTTCGATGGCGAATTGGCTGTTATCCGATACGGAGCACCAGGAGGAATGCGACGCCGCTGATATGAATTGCATAATATGTGCAATGGCAAAAACTCTACAAGAATCACAAACTCATCAATCAGCCATTCGCCCATATCGGGTTTATTCAAAACTTAAGCTAATATGCAAACATTTAGTAATGGGTCGACAGGAAGATGCCCATGAATTTATGCGCTACCTCGTTGAAGCAATGGAAAAATCTTACTTGTCGCGCTTTCGGAATCATAAAGAATTAGATCAATATAGCAAAGAAACAACGCCTTTAAATCAAATCTTAGGTGGCTATTTGAAAACTGCTGTACGGTGTCTGGCCTGTGGACATGTGTCGGTAACATTTCAACACTTTCAAGATTTGCTGTTAGACATTCGCAAAGCTGATACCATCGAAGAAGCCTTAGAAGGATACTTTTCACGTGAACGACTAGAAGACATGGGCTACAAATGCGAATCCTGTAAAAAAAAGGTACAAAACTTAATACTTATATATATTTTAATGAATTTAAATAAAAAACATTAATTTTCTATTTTTTGATTTTTTTCAAAGGTATCTGCAACTAAACAGTTTTCATTAGAGCGCGCACCAATAGCGCTATGTGTACAATTAAAACGTTTCTCAATGCTGGGAACAAAAATACATAAACAAATAACTCTTAAGCCCAAACTTGATTTATCGAAATTTGTATCTCGTAAAACGACTGGTGAACAACTCACTTACAAACTGGTGTCAATGGTTACACATTTAGGAGCTTCACAGCACGGAGGTCATTATACCGCGATAGGACTTACTGAATCAGGAGTCTACTATAATTATGACGACAGTTTTGTGCGACCAATAAATGTACAATCTGTGTGTAATACAAACGCCTATATTATACTTTATGAATTGGACAGTATAACTCCCCGACAAGTAACTAGTACTCAAATTAGTAACGGAGATATAAAAGAAAACCTTAAAAAAACGAATGGTTACATATCGAATAACGCCCATCGCATTATTGGTCCTCAATTGCCAGGCTTAGGATATAATAATTGTTCGAATAATGCAAGTATCAATAAAACACCGGAGAACTGTTATTCATATACTAATGGTGGAACAAAACTTGGTATAAATAGACAAAATGGAATTCAAATTAATAATAACAGTAAGGTACTGATTCATTTCAAAAATAACTACGCGGCGACAAAAACTAGTACGTCTTCCCCATCAACAACTTTTGTAACGTCCACAACAGAAAATAGTAACTGTGATGGTAGTGTTGCTAATACACAAGTGCAAAATGGTTTTCATACAGGATCTTGGAAGTTTCAAGAATCTTTATGTGCCAAAGCAACATTATCTAATACATCAGGTAAAGGAGAAGCTTCAAAATTTTCAAATAGTCATGAAAGTTCCTCTTCATTTTCTTCAGATAACGAAAATGAAGTCAGTTCATCTTCTCATATGGTAAATAAAGCGTTAAGCTCAAAATCTTCACTGCCAAGTATGCCGAAACTTTCAGATAGTGGCATATCTGAAACAAACTCACAATCTATTGGGAATGTAAAGAAAAATGCAACCGCCATAACAATACCAAAAAATTTACATAAAAGTCTTGTTCCCTATGAATCTGAGTCTGATGATGAACAGGTATCTGAAATAACTCATCTCAATAAATCTGTAAACAGTGAACTTGGTGCTATAAAACGTTGTTCATCATCATCGCTTTCAATAAATGACCATCATGAAAATAATTATAAAGATTTTAAAATTTTAACAGAATGTAAAACAAAAAAATCTGTGTCATCATTAGGAAATGGCATAACACCTAACTTAATTAATACAAATAATTGTAGTAATTCACAATCCAAAAGTAAAACTGCTAATGATGCAATCGAAGAAATTTTTAAAAATAATCATAATAATCCAATTCAAAATAATACTTTACCAACTTCCATAAAGAGAATGAAGCAACAAGCCATTGTAACCTCAACAACACATACAGTTGATTCAGATAAGGAACATGAAATATTTAAAGAATATCCTCGATCGCCATTAAAAAGGTCTCAGTCTACACCACCGTCACCGCCAGTAATCAAAACCAAAACAGGATTTTGGCAAGTTACTTCATTAAATTCAACCACTGCCTCAACAAACCTTGTTGAACAAAAAGTTACTAAAAATCCGAAAAATCCATTCGCAGTAAAAATTAATCAACCAACACAAACAAAAAAACAGAAAATGTCAACAGATAAATCTTTAAAGCGTTCAAATTTGACTAACAACGGGTACACAGCTGATACAGGTGATAATTCCTCAATTAGTGAGCTACTTTCGCAATCGCATCGCGGTTATGGTGCGCCCGTGCTAACATGGAGTGGAGAAAAAGCATTAATCGAAAAAGAGGTAAGATAAAATTTCCGTAATTAAAAGTAAATATTATAATTAGTAATATATTATATGTATTTATGCTCAAAGGTCAACCATGAGCTTCGTGACCAACGGCAAAGAGATTGGAATGAAGATGAAGACAATGATATGGATCGTGGTCGTCAGAAAAAGATAAAATCTAAAAAAACAGTTAATGGCAATTGTAAAACGGATGGATATAATCCTTTTCAGGAACATGAAAACCATCGTCGATGGAAGTCACATACACACCGCTTTCATCGCGGCCATTTTCGTCGGCAATTTCAACGTAATAAATATAAGTTCCCAAAATTCAATGATAAAACACAACGTGCGCATCAACGCAACAATAATGTTATTCACAACAGACGGAGCTCTTAACAGTTCGATGGATAGAATATTTCTTTTTATGCCACAACTCAATTATAATAATTCGACCTAAATGAAGCCTGTTCTTATACATATATTAATTTGAATAGAAGAAAAACACTATATAAAAATTGCATAAAAAAGTTAAATTCTTGTTATTTTGTATGAAATATGGCAGTGTTGTATGTTCAATTATGTGAGTGTATTTTATAAGTTAAGGAGAATTAATATATAATTAGAATTAAGTTATTTTTATTAATTATTTATTCATGAAGAATTATTTTATCTGCGTAACTGCTGTATTTAAACATTTCTATAATGCAACGCATTAGTTGATATAAAGAATATATATAAATACGTTTATATATACATATATGACAACTTATTTTGAAGACTTGACCTAATTATTCTATTCAGATATTGAAAAAAAATGTTATTTTTAATTTGAAATTACGTATCAGATGAAATATATAAATTATTAATTATCTAGGCTTTAAGATTGTACATAGAAAATAAAACGATTTTATTTCCGATGGAAATTAAATTATTTAATAATATTCGGTAAAATTGAAATTCTAAAATTCTGAAACCCATATTGCTAAATATATTTATATTAAACACTATTCTCCAAAAAACTTATTTTGAAAAAGCACTTTAATCTTTTTATACATTAAAAGGAAGAGCCTCGAATTATGATTCAGCTTTGTTTAATTCTTACCGCAATTGAAGCCTTTTTTAAAACGGCATATGTAATCGAAATACGAGAATGCATGACGCGATGGTAACTTCTATTGAATTAATTTATTTATAAAGACCAATATGGTTAAAAGCGACTATTTCCGGTGCCAGCCGTATTCTTAACAAAGTAAAAACCGGAGATTATGTTAATTTGAAATTTGTTACTTTTTTAACATATAAAAACTGAAATCGGAATATAATATCAACTCAACTATTTAAATATATTTATTAGATTTGTAAATAAAATTTAATGATCAATTTTTCTTTTCACTGTCAACAAAAATTTGGTTAAGCAACAAAATTATGCATTAATGGAATTCTATATGACAAATATAATTGTATTTAATATAATATTAAATTAGCATTTAAAATATTACACCCCATTAATTTAATTTTTCGCAAACTATTTATTTTCTTTCAAATTCATGTTTTAAAGAACAGTTTGTATTGTTTTGTATGACAAAGTAGTTTTAAGTAATGTAAAGCAAAATATTAAATTCTTTTACCAATAATGAAAGCAATAATGAAGATATAACTAATTCTTAGGCATGTATAAATTATATTAACAAAATTGTACATATATCAAATTAAAAGAAGGATTATTGAAGACAAGCATTACTAAAACTATGATTAATATTAATTCAGCTAAAAATTTTTTTTTTGAATTCGATACATGCTTCAATTTTTGGTTCAATTTGTTCGGACAATACACTACATTCAAAATAAATTGTGTCTAATTAAATGCAAGTGTACATATTTTAAAAAAAATATTTAATGGTTTTTCATTCGAGGGATACTGGGTTTATATCAACTATTTTTTAACCTTTTATTTCTAATCATTTTTTAGATTCATCATTCTGTTGTGAAAGCGAAATGATAAAGGAATATATTAAAACCAAATTTTTAAAAACATTATTCTTAAAAATAAAAATTTATTTTTAACTTTAATATATTTTTATAGTGTTAATTACAGATTTGCATTTTTTATTACCGCGACACCATTATAAAAATTGACAAAAGTAGTATGTATTGAAATGATTTCTTATAAATCTAAGAAATTAATAATATAACTTAATACAATGCAATAATTGTTTGGATTAATTATTTCGCGGGTTTATGTTATTTCTTATTTTTCATTTCGTGCTCTGCTTTTGCGATCCTTTTTGGTGATTAAACGACCTTTTCGATAACGATTCTGCTCAAACTTTTTGGTTTTTTGTAAGTGCTTGGGTAAACTTTTTATTGTATTAATTTTATTTCGTTTAACCTTTTTTTGGTTTGCTTTTTTATCAAAATTTTCCTTACGTTTAAAAGCTTTGCTTTTATGTAGTTTCTTAAGGGTTTTGTTTTTTATTAAACGATCCAAATCTTTTTTTGATTTAAAACTATCGAAATTTACTTTTTCAGTTTTATGTGATTTTCCATTTTCCTTGTTATTTTGTTCAGAATTTTTTGTAGATTTACAATTCAATTCCATACCGGGGATGCAATTAATATCATTATCAATATTACAATCAACTTCACTATCTGTGGATTCGTTTACTTCCGTATTCTCGTTAAAAGTGTTTGACCCTATGAAATTATTTTGATTGGCTAAGTCATTAGTTGACAACTCTACTATTTTAACACTGGCATCCTCATAATCGGATTCATATACTTTGTCCTCTTCTGTAAGCTCACGCAGTGGTTCAAAACTTTTTTTTAAGTGTTTAACGCCATCCTTTACCTCTTGCCGGATTCTTCTGCGTTCTTCCTTGAGGTGTTGCATCAACTGATCTTTAGCCTTTTTTCGGCGTTCATTTTTACGTTTTTGAAATCCAGTAAGGAATTCTCTACAAAAAAAAAAAACAAACTATTTAAGACATATGTATCTATATTTTCATAACAGATACAACCTTCTTTTTTTAGGATCGAAAACTATTTCTTTTTTCGCACTTGACTTCTTATTGTTTGGCATTTTACGAACTTTAATAGACTTGACAGATTCACGTGTTGATGTATTTTGATATTACCACCTTTTTGAAGTATTTTTCAAACTAATCGCATTTTTCTTATACTATGTTTACACTCACAATTTTCAAACTTTATTTACGCATTTTTGTATACATTTTGTATGAAAAACAATGATTGTAATAATAATAAGCACATACTAATTACGATATTGTAAACGCACTGTTCCAATCATTTTATAAATAAGAAGCAATACACATCATAAATTAATTGAGAGCTCTACGTACAATCTGTAAAAAAAAATATTGTGAGTATTCATATGTGATCGGGTACTCAATAAAATTTTATGTTTATTTCTTTTTGTAAAAATACAACGGAACCGAGCTGACCTAGCGTCAAGTCTTGTTTAATAAAGTACAAGCGAAATTTCCTTGCTCTTCTTTGTTGCGTTTGATTAATTGTGCCACCATGATGCTTCACAACTACTGAAAACAAAATAAATATACAAATAAATTAATTTATATATTAAAAACAATCACATATATAAAACATAAAATAAACTCATTCAATGCAGAAAAAGAAAATTAAAATTTGATACTTGTAATATAAATACGATTGATGTGCATAACCATATAATTACAATTTGTTTTTCTGCCATTCATTGAAACCACTCCTTTATGTTTAGTCAAAAATCTTTCATGCATGCGAACAATTCCTACAATCATCTGATTATACCACCAGTTTCTGACGTATGCAGTAATTTCGCGCCAACGCTCTTAAGATTTTATTATTTACATTTGCGAATGTTTTGTTTTAAGTGCCTTAAAAGTTAAATTATAACAAAAGAAATGGATCAAGTTGAAGAGGAAAAGCAGGACTTATCTAATGAAGACTTGCTTGGTGCGCAAAGTTTACTTTTATCAGATTCAGAAGACGACAAAAGCGAGGAACTGGCGGAAGACAAAAATAATGTAAAAAATGTCCATCACTTTGCTGAAACTGATGAACAGAGAATTCAGAACAGCCCACAAAATATAGAATTGCGAGAAAGTGAGGATACAATGACATTGGATGAAATTAGTAAACCAAAAGTGAAAAGTAGAATATTAACTTTAATCGATTCCGATTCAGAAGCTAGTAATGATAGTACTCAATGTGATCAAATTTTAGACACATTAAATCAATCACATTCTGATTCTCCGAATGATACACGCTTAACTGATAAAAATGAAAATAATAATATTAATGTCGACAATCATGAAACAGAAAAAAATAAAAAAATGAGAGTGAGTGTAGAACCTTTTTGTTAATATTTTGAAATCGGTTTAAAATTTTTTTTATAGATTTCTGCCAAAGCAGCATTGGATGAAATAAAAGCTATACAGAGTGAACAACAACGTTTGCATCGAGAAGCGCATATAAGGTGGGAAAAAAGTAAAATAAATTACAATAAACAACAATAATAAAATATTTTTCAAAAGTATTCCTTATCATAAACCAAAAAAACATACGCTGGATGAATTTTTAAAGAGACGCAGCAATTCAAACACTTCCCAACAGGTTGTAAATTCTGTTAAGTTATTCAAAAATTTAAAAATGCCACCTGAAGAGCTTAGAGACTATGCGTAAGTTTTAATTAAAATACATAAAATTTAAATACATGTGCATAAACATATTTCACGTATTTATAATAGTATATTAATGGAGGAGCGCGCTAAAGAAGCAAGTACATTTTTTAAGTCTGAATCAGATTGTGAAGAAGAAAAATACGATATAAAATCACCCGAAAAGTGTTGTGAATTATCTGTTGAAGAAGCTGAGAAAAATTTTAAATCAGATGATCCAACAATAAATAAAAGTGAACAAACGATAGACACGTTTCACACAGTTTGTTTTAACAAGGATACAAATTCGATAGTCAATACATCAGAAACATTAACAGATATTGCTTTGACAGTGAAGCCAAGAATCACCGAAGTAATTGAATTGCCTAGAATTGATTTGCAAGATGTTAATATATTAAAATCATCAGATACAACTAAGAAGTGTTCAAGATCACTTAATGGTATCAAACGTTTAATATTGGAAAATAAAATTACCGAGAGTCCTACTTTAAAGGGAGATTCAAGTATGTTAATTGACTTTGATACTGGGACCACATATACCAAAAGACCAACAAAAGCTGACCATTTACTACAAAAACTGCTTCTTACAAATAAATCATGCATTAAGAAATCAACTGGACAACCAAAGTAAGAAATTTCAATGTTATGATATTACTTAATTTTTAATATACTATACTTCTGTTCACTATTTATACTCATCATGGTGATAATCGCCTAGTAAATCAGTTAAACAATAATGTGACAAATGCAAAATTTAGCAATAAATTACGTTTTAAATTTGTTAGAACTATCGTGCCCACAATTCAAAACTATGATGTTTATAGTATCGTATCAAAAACACTTCACTTGATAAAATCTAGTAACTTTCTAAAGAATAATTAGTGTATCTTTTGTACAAAAACGGTGATATTAGTTTTTAGAAAAATTATGATGAATAATAATATTATAATTTTTATTAGCTTAGTATACTTAGTATATTGTTTTGATAATAATATTTAAATGATGTAGAATTAGTTTTAATGTAATTCCTTTGCCATAAATTTCAATGTTGTCCGCTACTTATAATATATTAACTTTACTCAATTTTAGCTAGCACTTTCTTGTTTCAAAAAGCTTAAACCTGTTAATTACTTTGATATTTTTTTATCCAGTTTGCCCAATTCTTGAGTATTCCCTGGTGAGATAAAATAGAAATTATTCAATCTATATGCTTTGTGCAATTTTTTCTCGAAAAGTCGTCCATATACGACTATAAAGTTTTTATTATTTGTTTCTTACTTTTCAATTAAAGGAGGGCGCAACTGTAAGCGCAGCTATAAAGTCAGTTAAGACTAATCAATAACTTGACATCGTAATTACTGAACATCATAAAGTAATGTCGTTAGATCCCTAATAATTTTAAAATATTATTGAAACCATAAGTTAAAATATATAGTAAACTCGTAAAGTAATCCATGACAGAATTTGGGTTGTTACGAATGAGTCATCTTTCATCGTACCGGAATTTAATTAAATACGGAGCATTAAAAGTGAAAAAGAAGTAATTTGGCCGCGATATGCCTTTGTGTGTCAAAAATGGTTAAACAAAACTCAACCGAATACCTTCTTGTATTATATATAGGTTTTTTAAGTAACTTTTCTAATAATAATTAATATTAGCTTAAATTATACTTTTTAATTGAAGGACGACAAGCGAATTAACAAAAAAAAATTACTTACAGGTTTACTTTTTTATTTTATTTTATGTAAATAATTCAAGACAGGTCAATTAAACATAATTAATTTTTCTGTGCTCTAATTTATTTTGTTTAGTATATCATTAAACGAAAATGAAACGGAATGCACTAAAGCAAACATTAAGACTCAAGATGATTTCGTATCAAATAAGGAACAAAAACCTGGGGCTGCACTATTTAAACTTAAAGAGAATTTAAAAAATGTGATTAAGAAAAAACGTTTGGAAGACATCAAAAAGAAACATGAAAATGAACAAAAAGAATTAAGTAATCATAATGATGTTGAAGATAACTTCGAGGAAACCAGAGGTAAAAATTGCGAAGCAGATTTTGATGATGAAGAAACTTCCCTTTTAATTGAAAATGATGATGATGAAAATTTTACAAAAGCCTGCGATTATAATGTGGATGAAAACAAAGATGAAAAATGCGAATCAGATTTTGATGATGAAGAAACTTCTATTGCAATTGATAATGATGATGAGGAAAATATTATAAGCAACTATGATTATGATGCGGATGATGACATAGATAATGATGAAGATGAAAATAATGATGAAAATGAAGATAGTGATGAATATGAAGATGAGGATGAAAATGAGAATGAAAGTAAAGATGAACAGGAAACAATACAATTTAACGAAAGTAAAAATTCTAACCCTATAAAGCTTACTCGAATTATTCAAAAATTTGAAGATGACTCTGAAGATGAAATCAACATTTACAACAATCCAGATGCGATATCATCTAAAACCATGGCAAAATTGTTGAATGATGATAATAATACTCACATTAACGCAGATGAGGAAATTGATGAATTAATCGGATTGTGTTCAGGGCAATTTGGTGTAACTCAAACTTCAAATCAAGCTTTGATTTCACAGGATCCTGATACTCAAAATAATCATAAAAATGAAGAAGCCGAAGATTTTCTACATCTGAATTCCAGTGCATCTGATGTGGAAAAACAAATAATAATTCAAAATTTGAATGAAACTAAAATTAAAACATCAGTAGAGAAAGACTGCAAACCACAAACACTTCATGTGCCTTCTGATGAAGAAAATGTAATAATATTATCAGAAAAGAAAAAAAATGTAAGAAAACTTTCTAAGAGTCTTAAGAAAAGAGAGATGAAATTAGGATTTTCTGACGAAGAGGATTCTGATGTTGAAGTAGATGAAGATCAAGTCGAAAATGAAGCGTATCCTGACACATTTATAGACTACGATTCTGAAGAAAATGAAATAGTAGTAGAGATGTCAAAAGATCAACGCTTGAAACAAACAGAAAAGTTTTTTGAAAACGAAGCGGAACTTTCGGAGTCAGATTGGGGAAGTGCAGATGAGGATGAAACAAATATGAATAAATATGACATTGAACTTGGTGATGAAGATGATTTTGATGGTGAAAAGCTTCAGACTGAATTGGGTCAGATACATGCGTAAGTACAAATTTTGTATATATTGCATAGAAAAAAATTTATTTTTAATTTATTTTTCATTTTAATTTAGTCGTAAGATGCTTGATGATGACATTAAAGAGGTTCGCAAAATACAAGATATGCTGTTTGAGGATGAAGAAGATAGCGGAGTTGGGCGGCAGCGCCAATTTCGTTGGAAAAATGCTGAACGTGGCTTCGGTTTAGAAGATGCAAATCAGAATCAAACGTCAGCTGATAGAAATATAAGTGACGATGATGAAAACGACGAGCATGCGTGGCGAAAAATTCGATTTGAAAGAGAACAAGTTTTAAAGCAACATGGTATTAATGAGGTTAGTATTCATATAATATATATAAAACAATATTAAGTATATATCAATTTAAGGAATCATCCACGACACAATTTTTAAACTGTTCACTTACTAATATTACAAAATCAAACGAAAATCAACCTTTAAGTACTACAAAAAAAATTAATATAATTAAAATTAAAAACGAGACTTTACCTAAAATGATCAAAGATGAGACTCATTTTTTGATACCCAAAGTCACTAAAACACACAATAAACCGTCCAGAGGTTCATTCTTAATACGAGATGATGAAACCTTAAATAAGATTATAAAAGGCACAAAAAGTCGTAATGATGTTGAGGGAGGCGGGTCTGTTTCAATAACCACTGTAAAGCCTAAAAATTTTGTTTTTGCCACACTGACAGAAGAGGAGCATGAGGTAAATATAATATAAACAAACATCATCGAAAATAACCGATTATTTCTTTATTTTAAGAATTTGAAGCGAAAAGCTAATGATTTATTAAACAATAGCAATGAAAATGGTATTAACTTTATGAAAAGACCACATAAAAAACCACGGAGAGAAAAATGTTTTATCGATCAACTACTACAGTAAATATGTACATAATAAATTTTAATCGATTTTAATAGAATTAAATAATTACTTTAAAAACGAAATTTGCTTTTAATTGTAAATAACTTATTAATGTGAAAATGTACCTGAAAATTTATGTACTCTGGAAACATTGTATAAATATTTGAATGAACAATAATCAAAATATGTGGCAACATTTGGTTTTTAAAAATGGCAGCATATCAATTTATTTACGCCGGCTCCCTTCGTAACATTAATTTTTATATCAAAAAAAGTAGTTCTTGTTTGGAGTTAAGTAATTTTAGATAATCAACGCGATTGTTAGTAGATAGTGCTCTGCAGGTTAAAGTGCTCTTATCACAACTATTTGAAAGGAATACAATATATAGAAGTATAATTAAAAATTACAAAAACATCTAAATATTACAATTATTTTCTGAAATCGATAACAAAACATGACAGTCCAATCTAAACTAAGCCATGTTTTTAGTTATGAGTCTTGGATCCATGCAGTATCTGGTGCTGCAGTAAGTTCCAAAGTCCATTTCATTAAAATTAAAATAGTAAATTTTATTTTTGCAGGGAGGATGTATAGCAATGTCTACGTTTTATCCACTAGACACCGTACGATCACGACTACAACGTAAGAAATATCAAATAACAAATTAAAGTGCAAAGTTCATAATCATAAATATATTTTGCTTTCAGTTGAAGACCCTGAAAAAAATGGTGAAGCGCGTAGTACTGTTAAAGTTCTTAAAGAAATAATACTTAATGAAGGAGTGCGATCTTTATATAGGGGATTGGCACCCGTTCTACAAAGTTTATGTATATCAAACTTTGTGTATTTTTACACATTTCATTGCCTGAAGGCAATTGCTGTAGAATCCAATAGTAAATCTAAGCAAAGTGCACTTCTAGATCTTTTACTTGGGTCTGTAGCAGGAATAATTAATGTTCTTACAACAACCCCTTTTTGGGTAGTGAATACGAGATTACGTATGCGTGATATTGCGGGAACATCAAGCGAAGTTAATAAGTTTTATACAAGTCTTTTTAGTGGATTACAATACATTGCTAGAACCGAAGGAGTACGTGGATTATGGTCCGGTACAGTCCCATCACTTATACTTGTATCAAATCCCGCACTTCAATTTATGATGTATGAAATGCTTAAACGTAATGTGGTTTCTTTCACGGGAAACGAAATTTCTAGTTTTGGTTATTTTATTATTGGTGCATTAGCAAAAGCATTTGCAACAGTTTTAACTTATCCTCTTCAATTAGTACAAACTAAGCAACGACATCGCACAAGCAAATCCAGCGAAGATAAATTATCTGCTAAAGCCAAAGACATAGGCATGATAGAAATGATGATAAGCATATTAAAATTCCAAGGTTTTAAGGGACTCTTTAGAGGCCTTGAAGCAAAAATATTACAAACAGTTCTTACAGCTGCATTGATGTTTACTGCTTATGAAAAAATTGCCATGCTAGTCGGAACGTTACTAAAAAGAACCCCAAATACTGTTAACTGAAACTTACGTGAAGTTTTAGAGATAAATAAACCAAATTTCTTTTGATAGGCTCTATTTACTAGTTAGGATTAGTGATTTTCTGTGTTTTGTGATTAAGATTTAAGTAAAGTATTATGTATTAATCGTTCCAGTTGGTTATTGAGTTCTTTTTCTTGAATTAAACATTTAAATTATATTTTTTTATTTCATATTTATTTAGTACATTTCGCTATTTGTAAAAAATAAAAGTTTTTTTAAGAAAATATTCTTTTGAATTTATTTTTATTTAACACCTACATCATTTATGTAAAAACGTATAATATTGTCAAACAGTTGAAACGGATTCATTTGTACTTTCTTTAATGTTATTGGAGTCAATGGAGGTATGCTCTTCAGAATTTACATTTTCAGATAATTTGGTTAACTCAATTAAATTATACTTCCTGAGCTTGTAATAATTTTCGATAACTGAAAGACAGCAAAGACCTTTAATGATTTCGACAATAACAGTTTTTAAGGCGAACTTCAGGTCGACTTGGTTTTTAGCGTTTTTAGATTGAATTAATACTGCCAGCTCCCTTATAGTCTCGTCCCGATCAATAGAATTATTAAATCGTCGATTGAAACTTATGGCAAATGTACAGCTTTCTTTCAAAAAATACTTATCAAATAACTTGCCGGCGGCGCTTAAAATATCTTTCAAGTTTGCACGGCATACGATTTCAATTGGAACGAGACGTTGTAAAAAACGGCACTTTTGAGCTCCTTTTTCTTTTAAATCCATAGCAATATGGGCACCCAATTCTATCGGATTTGCGACTGTTGTACGTATAAATATGCAATTCGAAGCACCTGTATCAACTGCTTGAAATCGACATCTTTTTTGTTGTTGGTCCTTATCTTTTGTAACGGATATTTCTTTCTGTAGGCAATCTGCAATATCATCTCCAATTTTTTCGCTTTGTTCATCCTCATTCAATTTTACACCATCTTCAGTACCATATAATTCGTCTGCATAATGATTTAGAATATTATAACACTCTCTAATACACTCCTTTGTTTTAAAATTGCAGGTGGCTAAAAAGCCACGTGAACCTATCTCCAAGCAGTATTTCTTCTTCTGGTTTTTAAAATAATGCTTAAAGTTATTTGATGATACTTTAAGTTTTTTATTTGATGGCTCGTCACCCATAATATAAACTTTATTGTAAAAAATTGAGTTTGGAATACAACTAATGTCACTTTGGCAACCATAGAATAAATTATTGCAACAGAGATTACACTGTTTTCTTAAAGAAAATACATTTTTTCTGTGATTTTACCAACTTTTAATTTTAAAGGAAACAAATCTATTATTAAATACTGTTTATTATGTTCATGTAATTATTTATACATATTATAAACAACGTCTTTTATTAAAGTGCTATAATAAAGCATATAATACTTTTTTTAATATATCATTGTTTTACAGTTTGCATCATATTGCCTAGAAATATAATTACATATTTCTGTCATATGGTTTTCTTATGTGTTTTGTTTAAATCGGTCTTCGTTTTTTCTGTTATAAACTATGATAAGTTTAAAGCTAAAAGTTGAACGTACTTTAACGTTACGCAATAATAGCTAGCACTAAAATCCCTAACATTTATTACGTTAACATTTTCACATTTTAAGTATTTATTACATTTATATATGTGTAACAATTACAATCAAAAGAAATATTACAATTATTCTTTTTATACATACTATGGTCCTGTGCGAGTTAGGCTAAGTTGCGTTCTAAATGAGGGAAATTCTAAGTTGTGCCGATAATGTAGTGATGTGTCGGTACGTGTTGATAAATGGCTAAATGTGTGCAGTGCAAAAAATCCCAAAAAAATTCCCATTTGGTTTAGCATCAACTGAGCCTAACTCTCACACGTCCTATTTGATACAGGACAATGAAACCTGTAATTCTAAATTTTAGAACAAATTATTTGCTTTTAATTATTTTCTTTTGTGTTCTTTTGACATGAATGCTCCAATAGAACAACTTCTGGTTGCTTATTAATAACTTGGCATCACTGCCAAAATCAATAAACATAAGACAAGTAAAAAAATTTTAAACAAATTTGCAGTTGATAAATATGTGTAAATGCAAAATACCTGCAGATAATTTTATAAAAAAAGTTTTTTTATGAAAAAATATGTAAAATGAATGACACAAATAAGTTAAGGTGAGTATTTTATATTGCATTTGAATTTATATAACATTACACATTTTTTTAAGCTCTATTCATGATAACAGAGAAAATCCATGATAGTGAAATAGGGACGATACAAATAGAGTGCCACATTGACTAAATACTTGATATTATTGATAGCTCCAGCTCTTCAGAAGTCAATACGAGACCGTCAATAAATTCGTTCGTATAATTTTCAAATTTCTGATATTTCAAGTTATGCTAAAGGAGCAGTATTTAACACTATTTTATTTTTCTTGCAATTGTCTTAAAAGTTTTTGTTTTTATTATAACGACTGTATATTATATTGATTCATGCATTTCATTGTTTAATGTACGTAATGCAGAAATTATGAATTCCTTAATAAATAGTTAATGAAAGACTTCTTCACAATTACTAACCTGTTTTCACAAATATTATTAAAAAATTACTTTTTTAAAGTATTTAAATTACCTCAACACCAGCAACAATTATGAATAATAAACAAAATGCACTGTCATGTGATTGGGATTTTCTATTTTCTTTCAAAAATCATCCACAATAGATCAATTTTAAGATTTGGTACCATTGTGGTGCGAGTGGCTTATTCGTTAAATACTTTCAGAAAAGTGGGCTTATTTTTACGAATGTTATTTTTGCTTTACGTGTTAATTTTCAAGCGACACGTGTCTTATGTAGCATTCATGTCAAGGTGCTTTTGACAGCTTTTAAGGGTGCTAAAAAACAACAAGTTGTCGCTTAAAGTTGCTAATTTGTAATACTACTTTTTCTATCTGAGCAGAAAACGTAAAAAAAAACAATTTTTAGTTTTACACTTAAAAGTAATGTACAATTTATTATTTTGTCTTTATTTTTCTAATTGATCAATATTTTTTAATTTATTAATTTATTTTTCATTGTTCATTGCCTTGTATTTAGGCGTACACGTTGCATATTTTCTTTTGCTATCATTTGTACGATTCAATGAATGTAAATATTATATTAGGCTGATTTTTAAGTCAGAGATACTGTGTAAATACCTTAAAAATATGCAGCTATATGTTTAAGTCAGAATCTGGATAAGCCTGTTGATTTTACCCATAGTTTTTCAATAGTTATTCAAATTAAAATATAAAATTTGTACGCAATATTTTGATCACGGCGGTGAAATCAAAATTTGCTATAGGAAATCATTTATCAATTATTTTTTGACATTGGAACTATAAATTAACATGCAACCCTTAAGTTGAAAAAATATGGCTGTAGCCGCCTGGATGCGGATGCAAAAGATAGATGCAGATGTTAAGATAAATAAAATTTATTACTGGCAATGCTTTATATTTTTCTTCAAACTTTATCAATGGCGAACACTCTCTCATTTCGTTAGATGTCGCAAGGGTAGGTGGTCACAATCGCTAACACATTTGACGTCGTTGCTGTAATCTAAAATTGATGCCGGATTTAATATCCGAAATCATCGCTTAATATATTAATTTAAAAACGGAATAGTCTTTAAAAGGTAAAATATAGATCTTTTTAATTTGTGAATATAGGTATATTATTTACAAAAATCTGCACGGTGTATCTCCAGAGTTGTAGGAATATATACACTTTGGTCGTCTGTATTGCGTGCTAGAGTATTTTCTGTACAATAGCATCGTTAGGTAACACGATTTCTATTACTGTTGCCATGGAATTCCGTACAGTACAACTATAATTAATTTTATATCAGTTTTAGAATCTTAAATAAAAACTTTGGTTTTAGATATGAAACGGTAATTAGGATGTATTTGTACAACTTAACTCTTCAGAAAGCCACCGGCATTACAAGTGCCGTCCACGGCAACTTCTCTGGTGGCAAACAGCAAGAAGTTCTTATATCACGTGGAAAATCATTAGAGTTGGTGCGACCGGATCCTAATACAGGGAAAGTTCATACAATTTTATCTACTGAAATATTCGGATGCATTCGCGCTCTTATGGCTTTCCGTTTAACTGGTGGTACAAAAGGTAAGTTCTTCTGACAAATGTATAATTAATAAATTTTGCACTAAAAACTTTTGAGGTTATCTGTTAAGAAAGAAATCTTGATGAATAATAATTGGTGCTAAATAAAACTTTCTTAACGTCGCATTTGGTGTAATTATCATATTATATCGAACTGAAACTTTGGGAAACATTTTTAATTTTTTAGCATCACATCGTATATATTTTTTACTGACAAACATTTCTTATTATTTTAGATTATATAGTTGTCGGTTCTGATTCCGGTCGAATAGTAATATTAGAGTATAACCCAACCAAAAATGCTTTTGAAAATATCCAAAAAGAAACTTTTGGCAAGTCGGGATGCCGTCGAATCGTCCCCGGTCAATACTTTGCAATAGACCCAAAAGGACGTGCTGTTATGTTAGGTGCTATTGAAAAGCAGAAGTTGGTTTACCTTTTGAATAGAGATCCTCAAGCCCGACTAACAATCTCATCACCGTTAGAGGCTCATAAATCAAATACACTAACATATCATATGGTTGGGGTTGATGTTGGATTCGATAATCCTCTATTCGCTTGCTTAGAAATTGATTACGAGGAAGCTGATAATGATCCCACAGGTGTGTATAATTGTTATTTAGCTATAAGCATTTTAACTTGCTTGCACAAAAGCAATCTGAAGCAAAACGATTTGACTCATTTGCTTAGATCATAAATTGTGCTAAATTAAAATATACTTAACTTCTGAACCATTGGTATTTGATTAAAAAAGTTGCAAGTACTTCACTGATATGTAGTTAACAACTAAATAAAGTGCTTCTAACAATGTACTTTGTAAATAATTACATCATTTCGTTAATAGGCGAAGCTACACAGCGCACACAGCAGACATTAACATTTTACGAATTGGACTTGGGTCTAAATCACGTGGTGCGAAAATATTCTGAACCGTTGGAAGAACATGCAAATTTTTTAATTTCTGTTCCTGGTGGCAATGACGGTCCATCGGGAGTATTAATTTGCTCTGAAAACTATTTAACATATAAAAACCTTGGTGATCAGCACGATATCCGTTGTCCCATACCTCGACGCAGAAACGATTTAGATGATCCAGAACGGGGCATGATTTTTATTTGTTCTGCAACTCATCGCACAAAAAGTATGTATTTCTTTTTAGTGCAAACAGAACAAGGAGATATATTTAAAGTAACTTTGGAAACTGACGATGACGTTGTTTCTGAAATCAAATTGAAGTACTTCGATACTGTTCCACCAGCAATATCTATGTGTGTTTTAAAAACTGGTTTTCTGTTTGTTGCAGCCGAATTTGGCAATCAGTATGTTATTTTTATCTTATATTTTTAGGAGCTTTTTATAGAACAATGAAATTATTTTACAGTTACTTATATCAGATTGCGCATCTAGGTGATGACGATGAAGAACCAGAATTCAGTTCTGCAATGCCATTGGAGGAAGGTGAAACATTTTTTTTCGCACCTCGCCAACTAAAAAATTTAGTAATGGTTGATGAATTGCCATCGTTCGCACCAATTATTGCTTCACAAGTTGCTGATTTGGCCAATGAAGATACACCACAATTATACTTACTTTGCGGACGTGGCTCCCGATCTAGTATGAGAGTTTTACGGCATGGATTAGAAGTATCTGAAATGGCAGTTTCTGAATTACCTGGCAATCCTAATGCCGTATGGACAGTTAAGAAACGAGTAGACGGTTAGTAAATTTTAAATACATAATATTAAAATATTTTAGAGCGTAAACAAATTCATTTGTTGAAAATCAAATGAACATGTTTAGGCTATGCCTATATTTGTAAAATTTGTTCAAATATCAACTGGTGATGTTGATGCATTTTTGTGTAATTAAATTCAAGAAGAAAAGTTGAAATTACGAAATCAAACACCAGTTCTTTTTAATTTCAGGAGGTTAAACTCTTGTGCTGTAGTGCCGTCCAATTGACAGTTTGAAAAAAAAAATGAATGAAATAATTTTATTTGATCATATATGCTCATGAAGAGTATGCAGGGTCAATAATAGTGTTTCAACACAACACAAATTATTTCAAGAAACAGTTTTAAATAATTATTTTACTTCAAATTCCTTCAAATATGGGTAAGGCAACAATTTAATCAAAAAATAATCAGGTTAAGCTGAAAAGATACATTGATATACATAAATTTAAGCATATCTTACCTACTTTTAATGTGGGCACATCAAGATATGCTGCAACTTAAACTACTGTTCTTTATTAATTTAGAGTATTAACACTGATATAAGTAACACTTATTAACTATTAATATTGGCAATTAACTGCAGTGATGATTTTATTCAACCGTGTTTCAGCTGAACTTATATGATTAAGATTTGTTGACTGAATTGTTTATTGCCACTATTAATCCAATATAATTACTTCTTATGATTTGTTATTATCGTCTAAAAAATAATCTATTGGTTTACGTTTGTTATGCATTGCAGATGAATATGATGCGTACATCATTGTTTCATTTGTGAATGCAACATTGGTGTTAAGCATCGGAGAAACTGTGGAAGAAGTAACAGACAGTGGCTTTCTAGGAACAACTCCAACTCTTAGTTGTTCGTCCTTAGGCGATGATGCCTTGGTCCAAGTATATCCAGATGGTATTCGGCATATCAGATCAGATAAACGTGTAAATGAATGGAAAGCACCAGGAAAGAAATCTATTACTAAATGTGCAGTAAACCAACGCCAAGTAGTTATCACTTTATCGGGAAGGGAACTAGTGTGCTTTGAAATGGACGCAGTAAGTATAAATTTAAAATGTATAAGTAAACTACATAATGATGATAAAAACACAAAGTTGAAAAATCGTGTTGATGGCACATAGTGTCCTGCAGTACTGATTTAATTTGAAAAAAATTTATAGTTGTTAAAATTTGCTCTCCTTTAATGCGCAAATTTTTCTTTTAGACTGGAGAACTGAATGAATACACTGAAAGATCAGAAATGCCATCTGAAATTATGTGCATGGCATTAGGAACAGTTCCGGAAGGTGAACAGCGTTCATGGTTCCTTGCTGTTGGTCTTGCTGATAATACTGTACGAATTATATCACTTGATCCTAACGACTGTCTTTCACCTTGCTCTATGCAAGCTTTGCCATCCCCGGCTGAATCACTTTGTTTGGTTGAAATGGGACATACTGAAAGTACAGCAAATACTGTGAACGAAGAAAATGTGGAACGAGCTAGCGCTCCTACAAAAGCCACGATTTATTTAAATATTGGACTTAGCAATGGTGTATTGTTGCGAACTGTATTAGATCCAGTATCCGGAGATTTATCGGACACACGCACTAGATATTTGGGTTCACGTCCAGTTAAACTTTTCCGTATAAGAATGCAAGGTTCTGAAGCAGTGTTGGCAATGTCAAGTCGAACATGGCTTTCTTATTATCATCAAAGTAGATTTCACTTAACTCCATTATCCTATGAAACTCTCGAATTCGCTTCGGGATTTTCAAGTGAACAATGTAATGAAGGTATCGTTGCGATATCGACAAATACCCTACGAATTCTGGCACTAGAAAAGTTAGGAGCAGTATTTAATCAGATGGCATATCCTCTCGAATATACACCACGTACATTTGTTATACATCCAGATACTGGACGCATAATAATTGCAGAAACAGATCATAATGCCTACACTGAAGAAACAAAAACAGCAAGGAAACAGCAAATGGCTGAAGAAATGAGAAATGCAGCCGGAGATGAGGAAAGAGAACTAGCTAACGAAATGGCAAATGCTTTTATAAATGAAGTTCTACCAGAAGAGGTGTTTTCAGCTCCAAAAGCAGGTGTTGGTTTATGGGCTTCTCAGATTCGAGGATTAGAGCCCATTCAGGGTCAAACTCTGTTTAAAATACCTATAATTCAGAATGAAGCCATTGTATCTATGACCATTCTTAAATTTAGTATAGCTGCCGATGGTCGATATTATTTGGCTGTTGGAATTGCTAAAGAACTACAATTGAATCCACGAATTTCTAATGGTGGTTTCATTGATATCTATAAAATTGACCCTACATGCTCTGCCCTGGAATTTTTACATCGTACTGAAGTTGAAGAAATACCAGGAGCATTATGTGGATTTCAAGGTCGTCTATTAGCCGGTTGCGGACGCATATTGCGTATATATGATTTGGGAAAGAAAAAACTTTTGAGAAAATGTGAAAATAAACATATTCCTTATCAAATAGTTAATATTCAATCAATGGGACATCGCATATATGTATCTGATGTGCAAGAATCTGTTTTTTTTATTCGTTATCGTAGAGCAGAGAATCAACTGATTATTTTTGCCGATGACACCCATCCACGTTGGGTTACTGCAACAACTCTACTTGATTATGATACTATTGCAATTGCTGATAAATTTGGCAATATGAGTATTCAACGTTTACCGCATTCTGTAACAGACGATGTAGACGAAGACCCAACTGGAACAAAATCGCTTTGGGATCGAGGTTTACTATCCGGAGCTTCTCAAAAGTCTGAAAATATTTGCTCCTTTCACGTTGGTGAGATTATCATGTCTCTGCAGAAAGCAACTCTTATTCCTGGGGGATCTGAGGCACTTATTTATGCTACACTGAGTGGAACAGTGGGAGCATTTGTACCTTTTACAAGTCGTGAAGATTATGACTTTTTCCAACACTTGGAAATGCATATGCGAAATGAGAATCCACCAATATGTGGTCGCGATCATTTGAGTTATCGTAGTGCATACTATACAGTAAAAAATGTTTTGGATGGAGATTTATGTGAACAGTATTTATCAATCGATCCTGCTAAGCAAAAAAGTATTGCTGCGGATATGTTTAGGACACCAAATCAGATTTGCAAAAAACTGGAAGATATACGAACACGTTACGCCTTCTAAGGTTAGTATTTTCAACACGTTTTTTGTAATAAACTTAAATCTACAAATGATGATAAATTTTCGAATGTCACATATGTTAGAATATGAATAAAATGATTTGACTAATTCCAAAATCTCTGATATAACATCTAATTTACTGCAATCGTAATATATACATAAAATTAATTTTTTGCTTACAAGACAATATCTCGTAGCTAATTTTTTTAATTGAAAAACTTAGCGATATCAATTACTGCCATTCTCTTTAAATTATTCAATATATCTTTAAAAATTTGGGTTGTAGTAAATAAGTTAAAGTTATTAATTAATTAATATAACTTTATATTATTCAATAAATAATTTTTTTTATGTTTTGTTTATTTTTAGGTGAAACACACATGGATACATTACAAGACAGAGGTAAGAAAGTTTAATTTTATTTGAAAAATAAATAATGTAATATATGTACGTGATGATTATTAATTTACCTTGGGACACCTATGAAAATAATTGATTAGTGTAAATCTACAAACTGATTAAATTATTAACTATTATTTTTGCTTTCTATAGTTTTACAAATACTAACAATAATGTTTTAATTTCAGTGATCACTTCGATATATGTCCAATTCGATATACGAAACATTTACTTATTTTAATTGTAGAACACATCTTTATTACTCTACATCCATTGAAATAATAGATGTAAGCTGAATATAAGGTAAATACATTTCTCATAATAAATCATAATAAAAATAACTGCATTTTTTTTTATTGACTATATAATATACATTAATGATGATATTTTTAAATATGTTAGACTTATGAATATATTTTGATATAATTTTACTTTACTGATCTTAATGTTTTTCATAGTAATATGTTACAGCTATTTTACCCTTATGAAGATTAATTTTTTATTTTTTATATTTTCAGATTTTATGAAAAATTTAATTTATCCTTAGGTTAAAAAAAATACAACCACTCACGACTGACTGCCCATTATTTTAAGTTAAACAAATAAAATTGTATATTTAAACAAAATAATCTGTATTTATCGCTTTCTTAATCGTTTAAACAAAAAATATAACATGCGAGTATTAGTTCTAACAAAAATTGGTTTTATTTGTATATCATATTTACTTTAAATTATATCATGAAGTTATGGGGCAGCGGGGCTGTAGTATATGTAGATTACTTATATAAGTGAGCAACTCTTAATAATATTACGTCTTCAAGAGCAACCAGTTTTAGTTACAAAATCGTTATTTTTCTTAGATAACCAAATGCTACTTGCTTCGACAACACTAGCGCAACAACGTACACTGCCAAGCAAAGGCTCAGTTAGTCGGTGGGTATCGTAAGAACTTAAGTCAAAGCGAAATTCACAACCAACCAATCCTGTGTATTTGATACGACTGAAATAAATAAAACCGGCGAACTTTAAAACAAAGTGGAAAAAAAAATCAAATTCAATTAGGTTTTCAACTTAAGCGAATTTAAAAATTGTACTCAATTGCTCACAAAACCTTGTTGAGGAGGATAGGTGCGTTGCAATAAAAAATATGAATATAAATAATGGGCGTATATTCAAGGTCTATAATAATTGACTGTTTTCAAATGTTTTTAACATTTAAGTGTTTTTAAAGTATTGGTTAAGATAAAAATAAATTTTTTCATGTTCCTCAATATACTTTTACTGCAGTGATTTCATAAACTATATACATTTCTGATCGACTTGATAAAACGAAGTAGGTCCAGCTTTCTTCGCCTGTGTGGATGTTAAAAGGCGAACTGAGTTTGAGATAATCGAATAAAGTTTTACATGGTTATATATTGTAAATTAAGGCAGATAGCGAGGTTTCCGAACTGAAAAATTTTTTGGCTATATAATTTACTTTTGGCTAAAGGCCAAAAAAAATTTTCTATATAAAGTTGAAATTTGCTATATTCGTTTAAGCAGCACAATGTAGCGACATCACTAATATCTAAATATTTACTCTAGTACTCATTTCCTCAAAAAAGTATTACGATAGGTCATGAGATTGAAACCATTAGTATTAGTAGGTGCATCATACTATCGAAATTTTCGCAAATTAAGAATATATTTAATCAATTGAAGCACAAATCACATGTCGCAAAATCTTAAGTTATATGGTCATATGTTGCAATGTGACAAAACCTGTTAAATGATACAACTCATAAGGACACTCGCTTCATTCGCACGCTGTAAACTGCAAGCTGACAGTTTTGATGGGAATACTTTGCCAAATAATGAAATTATTATCACTATTGTTTTGTTAACTGTTATTATTGTATTTAAGGTTTTTTTAAAATAATAGACTATTTTGACGGCAAGCTCAAACAAATCACGGGGTATCACTTAGCTATAATTGCATTGCCCTATAAATAAAGTCGTTACAAATTTCTCTTCTAGACATTGTTTGGCGAAAACGCATTCCAGGTTTTTTCTATGGAGTATAATTTATAAAATTGTACTCCAAATAATTATAATTTTAAAGTTACAATTGCAATTAGATACAATATATAATTTACAATAATTTTTTTTTAACAAAATCGTCTCATTGGCTCTTCACTACTTTCTCGTAGTATATTTTTTAAATTTTAGCACTCGCATGTGTTACATCTAGTTCGTTAACAGTACTTTTTTGAAATTATATTCTAAATACCAAAGAATATCTTCTTTGATAAATACTTTTTTATAAAGTACCATATCTTACGAGGTTTTAGTTACACACAACACTTTTTTATGCTAGTAAAACACTAAACATAATAATTAGTGGTCATAAAATGGATTGTACTCCACTTAATTTGGTAAATTTGTTTGTTATGTTTGTATTGTCATTTAATTCTATTTTAAAATTGTTTCAGGCCCATTTTCACGAAAGACGAGCTAACAAGTTTCTGAAATTTCATAGATATAATGAAGCTTATAAAGCAATTGAAACATCCCTTCTTTATTTACATGATGCTTACAAAAATGTCATATATCCTAAATCTATAGAGGTTTTAGATACACAAAAATGGGAATATGAGCGGAAATTAAAACAAATACAAATGAGGAAACAACAACATGACCGACTTAAGCTTAAGGAAATTGTGCCGCCTGTTTCTGAAGGACTGGGTGTATTACGACCAGAACCTATTCAAACCGCGCAGTCTGTGGCTAAGTCAATAGATAAGACTGTTCAAGACTTTGATGCAAAGTTTAACAATGAAGTTATAAAAAAACAATGGAAAGAGAATCAACATTACAAAATGTGCATGGAGGATAAAACTAAAAACAATGTTAATACATCAAATTCGAAAGGTCAATCCAACCAAACAACTTGCTTTGAGGATGAAACTGATATACCATCATTAGCGCCATTAGAGCTACCTATTTTTGATACAGTTGATTTTAATTTATTTACAAGTTCGAACACCTCACTATCAAACATAATGAATTTAGTTGAGAGTTTTCAAAAATAAAAAATTTTATTTAGATTTCATTAAATTATACTAGCAAAAGATGTTGAACTTAATTTTACTAGGTTAATAATTCTTGTAGTAAGTCGGAAACATCACCTTCCGTCTCTACATTTTTCAATAGCATTAGCACTTGAGCATCCATTTCCATCACCAAATCTGGCTTTTTATATGTTATAATTAAAGTATTATATTGATGATGCCATTCTAAATTTTCTTGTTTGGGTTGTAATCCACAACGATCCAACTCAAGCATAGGAATTACTTTATAGTATTTTTTATTTGTTGTGCTGACAACGATTGTTCGTTTTTCCGCATTAACTTTTACAACATAAACAGAAGCAGGATAAGGCAGGCAACGTATACGCCACTCAATACATTTCTTGGTAACGCGTTTAGATAATTCAGGTTGGGAGTCAGATTCCCTCAATATAAAATCGGAAACGGTTGTTGAGTTTTTGTTGATTTGACCAATTTGTCGCGGTATTTCACCAATTTCCATTTCCCATTCTGGTTCACCCGTAAGTTGTTTACATTTTTTCCAGGAGCGACGCTGAACAATCCCTGTATCTAAACTATACTCTTCTGCCATTGTTTTTCCATCCGGAAATTCATATAAGATCTTTCTGCATTTTCCACTAATGAATGATGTCTTTTTTGCAGCATTTAAATAATCAATCCAAAACTGGTAAGACATTTTGCCGGATGGTTAAACCACAGTTTTTTAAAACATTAAAAAATTGAACGAAAAGTTTTAAATGTAGCTTTGCCAATAATATACTCAGCTGTCAAGTGGAAGGGTTACTATGGTAAGGAAAAAATTGTTGAAAAATTTATAGATTCTTAGAATTCAATCTATAATTATAATCTTTTGATTTAATCAATAATAATTATATATTAGTTTTAAGGATTTTGCTACATATTTTAAGCATTTTTGATGAGACAAACATTTATATATTATATATGCACGACCGTATTTATCGCCTTTTTATAATTTACCCGATAAGTGGGTTGCAACTAATACCGTTTTCCTTACAAAAGTAAAATTGCAGTATAATAAATAAATACTGTTAAAAATGTTCGTTTATTTATAATTTTTATTTTTAACACATCAAAAATTACAAGTGTTTTATATTTCTATATATTTTTAAAGAAACAACTTAAGTGAAATAGCGAAATGCGTTGATAATTTTTTAAATTAATTTCTTAAATTAAATATGCTTTAAATAAAATGTAAAATTAATAAACTTGTAGTACTAAAAATAATAAAAATTATTCATTTCGTTCATGAAATTGCGATATGAAGTGAAATGCCTTCATTTACAACATTAAAAACCCGCAAGTATACATCTTTGAAATTCATATGAGTACTAAATAGGGTAATTATCATAGTTGTGAAAATAATTCAATATGATTTAATATAAGTAATACGTTTACGCGAACAAAAGTTGTATTACGGCTTACGAAATCAATATCACGCTCGCAAAAACATTCTTAAACAAGTTTTATGCAAAAGCACTTTTAACTTATTAAAAGCAATTTAATTTTAATATGTAAAATCTGACAGATGAAATTACGTTTGAATTTTAATACACACATCCAAAATTAAGTTAAAATTAAATTCATAATTCGCAATAGCAAATTGTATAACGATATTGCCAATAATTTTTATAAACTAATGCTAATATTGCTACAACGTTTGGCAACTCTACTCACGAACGTAACTAGAAAAACAAAAATCAAAATCAAAATGAAGATTTTCCGTGTGAACAAGTTTTAAGATTAAGATAATTATGGTAATATTTAAGTTTACACTTTACACTTTTAAAGCAGTTTTAAGATAATGTGCGTAAAATTGGTTTTAAACTAGCATTGCAGGGTCGAGTAAACACAACATTAGGTATATTAAAAATTATATGTGAATTAATTTACATAGAATATTTATCATATCAATATGGCAGCACTGAACTTATATGTCATAGTGAGCAAAGAAGGTCACGTCATCCAATGAGTGTATAGCTTTTTGTGGAAGATCTATAAAAGTAGGCTGCAATAAAGTTTAAGCAAAATTCATTACTAAAAATAGAACAGAATTGAAGTCCATAATTTTGTTGGACATATTAAGCAAGTAAAATAAAGGTGTTACTGGAACATTATTAAAAAAATAAACTAATAAAATGAGTCTTGTATGGACTTTGATCGCTACATTTCTGTATGCAGAAATAGTTGTCGTTTTGCTGTTAGTTTTGCCAATTGCAAGTCCATACAAATGGAACCGTTTCTTCAAATCTAAGTTTTTAGCTATGTTAGCTCAACAAGCGCATATCTACTTCTTTTTGATAATGGGTATTCTGGTTCTATTCTTATTGGAAGCAATACGAGAAATGCGTAAATACTCTACACATGACGGCGGATCAGAAGTACATCTGAATGTCGAAATGCAGCATAGCATGCGTCTATTTAGAGCTCAAAGAAACTTTTACATATCTGGATTTTCAATTTTCCTTGTGCTTGTAATCCGTCGTTTGGTGACTTTAATTTCCACACAAGCAAACTTACTAGCACAAAGCGAAGCTTCTATCAAGCAGGCCCAAAGTGCATCTGCCGCCGCTCGTACTCTAATGGAAAAAAAGAAAACTGAAAAAGCCGACGAAGCTGTTGAAGACAGCACTCTTAAAGAGGTAAGAAAATTGCTTATACAATTGCACAAATTTTTTAAAACTAAACTAATTATAATTTGCAATTTTGTAATTGTTTTCAACAGTTTCTGAACTCGCATTTAAAATAAATCGCAATTTAATTTCTTACTAATATATTGCTAAATTTAAATAGTTGAAACTTGTTCGATACAGGTCATGGCTTTAATTAATTTTTATTGTTTAATTATATTTAAAAATAGCTGGAAAAAAAATTTTTTTTTAAATCAAAATTGTTTCTATTAAAAATGTTCAATAAAGAGTACAAATATTCTAACAGCTTATGAAATTGCGGAAACGTGTACGTGGGCTATCAGCTAGTGTAACTTTCAGTTAAAACTTTGCGAAGGGATCTTTTTGTTCGAAACTGTTACTACAATATCATCCTTATCATATGCTTCAAAAATAAATAAACAAATTCATACTAATTTTAGCTTAATGAATTACGTCAACGTGTGCAAGAACTTAGCTCAGCCTTAAATAGTGAGAAGAAAGACAAGGAAGCTTTAAAATCGCAAGCTGAGAGTTTGAATAAGGAATACGACCGAATGTCGGAGGAATTCAGTAAATTGCAGAAGAGAATAACGATTTCAGATTCCACAGTTGGCAAAGGTGGCGTTAAAGATGATTAATATGCTGCATTCGAAAGTTTCAAAAACTTCTAATTATTTTTATACATCATTATTATCATATTTAGTTCACATATGTAAGACTTGTGATTGATTTTCAATCAATCAATATATTTAATTAAAGAAAAACACATTGTACATTACTTAATATTAAAAAATTTTCTACGTGGTATAATTTTGGAGTGTTCTACATTAACGTATACTTATTTGCATATATTAAAGAATTTAAATGATTATTTAATAAACATGTTTAAAGTTTCGTCATATTTTTGCTTATTTTATGATGAGGTGATAAATGAAATACACATACATACATTTTTGTTTCTTTTTATAATCAGTGATTCATTTAAATTATGACTTTATGTAAGCAATGATAAATGATAGTTATGAAATAGTTAAATGAAATGAAAGTTAGCTTATATGGATATTAATTTATAAACACATTTTTATTGTAAACAAGAAATGTCAATATACAAAAGGGGTCGGGGTGAGAGAGGATCGTTCATATTATCATCCTATTTATTGTCATATACCTTTAACATTTAATGTTGCGATGATGTTGCAAATCGCTTAATAGGACTTAAGATAGATACTTCTAATATTTTTTTTGTGGGTTATTAGGTCAATTTTACTTTGATTTGATTTGACTTTTATACTTTGAAACAAAACACGTTTGTTTTATTTAAACATAAATTTAAACCAAATTGAAAGGGTTTGTGGGCAGGAACAGGAAGACGAGGGCTGTCTTAACATCTGTACTATGAAAATGTATGTCGCATGTGATTTAAGTAATATTTATTGATTTTCAATACCAAAAACTAACAGATTGCAGATGAGGAAAATATTATATCAGAAATCACCGTCTATTAGAAATGAAAATAAAAATGGGCAATAAAATGAAAAAATAATAAGAAACTTTAATAAAATTATCTAATCATTTATACACATTTGGAGTGAAAAGGATATATTCAATTTTTCAAAACTCAATTTTGTAACGCAGTGAACAAAAAATAAATTTAGCGATGAATGTTTGTTATTTGTTAATACACAAACTAGTCTCCCAGTTTTTGAATTTATGGAAGGATTATCGATTTGTCTTACGGGTCTGGGTCCTGGAAAATCATATATATATTGGAGACTACAAATAATCCTAAGTACCTTAAAACTTGTGGCCTGCCCAACTTGTGGAATATTATCTCCTACGATAGAATTTATCGAGCAGAAAGAAAAGGAAGTGACCGTAGGCAGGGCACATCTTTCAAAGAGGAGATGATAAGCTTAAAATAGCTTTATAATGAAATCCACAAGATATCTGTAGACTTGATCGACCTAAGCAAACAACGAAAAAAGAAAACATGGACTGAAATAAAACCTTTCAAAGAGGAGATGATGAGCTTAAAATAGCTTTTTAATGAAATCCACAAGATATCTGTAGACTTGATCGACCTAAGCAAACAACGAAAAAAGAAAACATGGACTAAAATAAACCAGAGTAAGGATCATTTCAAATATTTTGTTTGTTTTCTAAGGTACGACGAGAAGCGCCAATGTGAAATAAATAAATAATCCTTGTACACACAAGGATTATTTAATTAATCTACACTATTGAAACTATAGGGAATTATTTAGTGAAGCATATTTGTATTTTAAATGATTAAGATTAACAAATTCAGATAATTATAAAATACTTAAGGTAGTTCTCAATTTGTACGAACTACCTTAGTTTTTATGATGTTTTACGATAGTTTGCTGGATAACTCTGGGGTATTGTTCAATGTGCATTTTAGCTGTTGACAAGTCATTATAGTGTTATCAATTTATGCTTCTTCTAGCACTTATCATCGTATCTACACAACCCAGTATTTTGATTAAAGAATCTTAAGTTAAGGTTTTTTCACTGTGTGGTAAATAAAATCAATGACCAAGTAGTGGAAGATATGAAAATTTGGCTTCTGCTTTTTGAGATACACATTACATTGAGATAACTGAGGATAAAAACCCGCATTTGCAAAAGGAAAAAAATTTTGTCTTTTGTTATGACAGTACACCAGCTCGCTCGTCGGCAATTGTATCAGCTAAATTGGTTGAATTTCATTGCATGGTGCTACCGCATCCACCAGATTCATATTCATCAGATTGGATAAGTAAATAAAGTTAAAAAAAAAATTTTTTTAAGTGAGCAAACATTAATTATTTTCATTTAATATCAAAAGCTCTCGTAAAATAATATATGTATAGATACATATATATGTAATATTAATAATGAAGGTACTAATCTACAAAGAAAAGTTAGTTGTCTTCATAGTTTTTCAGTATTTTCCATATTCAAGTACTTAATTGTGAGATAATATTAAATTCATTGTCTTTCAGTTTATTCGCAGTCATTAGTCAAAAATTTTTGAAACGATTTGACTTAAAAGTGTTAAAATACAGCGTTTTTGGAGAGGTCTGTAGTGAGAACAAAAGAAGAATATGAATATATTTGAATGTAACAATATATAATAATGAAAAGCTGGATTGCATGTATGAGAATTGCCCATTAAGTAATTCATACAAGTTACATTAATTTCATGCAGCTGAGAAGGATGAACTGTAATTTATGTAAATATGTACATGTACAGATCTCGTTGGTTCACTGATTTCAGTCAAATTGCTATTGCGGCAACGGAATTGTTTTTGTTGTTGTTATTTAATTGAGCTTTAACTCTGAAGCATAACCGGACGCACGTGTTCATTTTCATTTGGCGCAAACTGCAAAATAAAACCATAAAGAGCAACAGCACAGCAGCAACAACAGCAATAGCAATTACAACTATAACGCTGCAGTAGAAGTGCATGCATGGGCGTAGCTATGGGGTCAAAGGGGTAAATACGCGTTTTGAACGTGTGACGACGATATTATTTTATTGTTAAAACTGAACCCATGGGATTATGGCCTCTACGATCTTTTTTTTATAACGAAACAATATCTTGGTTTTATATATAAAACACGTCTTTGCCTTATTGGTCCCCTCTGGCTACTTCTATGAGTGCATGTGTTAGTACGTTTGTATATAATACACATACGTCAATATATATTAAACTTCAGAAAAAATGCACAAACGTGCTTAAGTTTGGTCATGGTACAAACATATAAACATTAATGTAATAATAATAAATTGTATGTATGTATATAAAAATAGTTTAAATGTTGCATGTGTGTGTATGCAGTCTGTCAGCACTTGCCGCGTAAAAAGTGATGAGTCAAATTTAAAAAATTATCATCCAATTTTTCTTAAATATAATAAAAAATACATAAATAGCTGGATTTAACTTTGACCTTAAGAATGGCAAGTTACCCAACTATTTGTAAAAGTATTGCTTTAATGTAATTTTTTTTAAATTATAGATGTAGTAATAACCAATGATTCCTGATTATATATATATGTATGTATATATATGTATATTTAGAATATAGATCGTTTTATTATTAAAAATCTTAACATATTATTTTTCAGTTTTATATTACTAAATTTAACTTCACAAAAGAGCGTTATCACATATCATATTTAAAAACTATAAACATTATTTTTTAAATAGTTTTTAATATTAAAACTATGATATTTAGAGATTATCTGGATTAATATATTAATTATATCCAAAAAATAAAATAATAGCTAATGCAAAAGTTAGAACATGAGCATTTTGATTAATTACTATAAAAAAATCTGTTAAAAATGCTTCTTCAAATGTTTCGTTTCCGGATGAATTTTAAATGTACCATAAATTAAAATAAGTCAGAGAAATTGGTTTTACTTTTTCTTTTTAAACTTCAAATACCAGTTTTTTTACATACCAGCATTTTTACACTTAGCGATTAGTTCCTAGTACAGTTGATTGATGTCGATTTTAGCCAATATATCATCGTACTTGTAGACCTAATTAAGTAAAGACATTGGGTGCTAAGTCGAAAATATCTAATACATTTCATGCTGTTTTATATAGCGAATACATGTTTTAATAAAATGTTCATTGTATAATTTTAATCCAGTATTCTTATGGTAAACCAAAAATTGTACTATATAAAAAAGAACTAAAAAGATATCATTGTCTAAGACTTAAATCTTATTTCTCATCCTATATTGTCATTTAAACTAGCATTTGTAACATTATCATCCTCACTTCATCCTTAGGAACGTGATTATTAATCAAAAACCATATCTCAGTTACGATGGAAAAATGTCATTATTATTATAAGTCATTATTACAATCTCTGTGCTAAAATTAGCGCATGAAACCTCTATTATATCCAGCTATTAATCAAGGAACTCGAACGCTTCCTTTTCATTATATTACATTACATTAATGTTAATGTTATGTAAGATTTGGTGGTTTAACCATTTTTTTGTGAGTAGCTATATTCCAACGCTTGTTCTATGCAGGTATACCCGCTGAATTTTCTTTGATTGCAATTGAGGTGTCTGAAAAGTTGGCAAATGACATTTAAGCGGTCTGAAATTTAATTTCGAATCATGTTTTAGTTATGACAATACAGTTTTTTCATTATATAGGGAATAGAAATATTGTAAATGGTTAGAAAAAAAATTCTTCAATTCTGGAATTATAATAAATTATACTTACTATATCAATCTCTTACTAACCACCCAGGATAGCCGTAATAGTGTGCAAACCAGATTGATTTTGAGATTAGTCTTAACATAGTTTATTAGAATCAAATCACTGATGGCGTAATTTTATTAATTACACTTCACTCACTACAATACCTCTTCTGGATCTGATTTTTAATACGATTATCCGAATATTGTTCAGTTTGCATCCCGCACAAATTTTCAATCATGCATACCAGAAACTAAGTTCATTAATTAATGTAATGTATGTTAAATTGTTTTCCATAAAACAAACTTGCCACCATCTAAAATTTTTCTAAATGAAAAATAGGGCTTTAATTACTTGATTCCTTATATATTTTTTAGTCTGTATATAAAACACTTTTGTGAAAAATTATATATGTCTTCAATTATAAAATACATATAATATACTATACATAGTATATGTACAGGATCACTATTTTAAATGAAAGAAACGACTTCAATTATGTTGATTATTAAAATATTTTTTTAGTCTTCTTGTTGCTTGCTGAATCAAATACTTTAGTTAGTGTCTAAAACACTTTCGCTCAATAGAGTACGTGACCACATGGATAATCCTCTGTAACAAGAGATTTATTGAATTAAAATAATAAGTAATTCGGATGAATTTATAGAAGTATGCATATATTGCATTTGATTTAAGATAGTACAATTCTGAAAGGTGTGGGCATCCACAGAATCAAACAATTTCAGCGTTCTGCATTTGCTATACTTTTGCAGAGTCCCGACTATCAAGTTTTTGTATATATCTTCTCTTCTGATATTCGTATACTATAACGCTTTAAGCATACATATTTAACATAATACAATATTTTGATAATTCTTTTTGGAGAGATATCTATTTCTATTTAGGATTTCTATGTGTATACATATATAAGAGATTTAAAATTATTAAAAACTACATATTCTTTTTAAATAGCTTACAAATTAATTAACTAAAATATCGGTTGGCTATTATATAATTAACTTAAAAATTATATTAAGACAAGCCCTTCATTTTTAAGTACAAAGATTTCGTAGACGTCAGTTTGAGTGTCGATGTTAGAAATTTCAAAAAATGGCGTCTTGTTTCGTTTAAATCGCAAGTCATTAACACAAAACTTGTCTGAATTTCAGATCTTTTGTTATTTAGTATGAATAAAAAGCCACGAACGGGAAGAAACAAAATGCAAAAATTTCGTAAAACTTAAACCACACCAACTTTTTAAGCAACGCAATGGAAGGCCAGAATAAAATAAAACAACAAAGCAAGAAGAAGTAATGGCTAAAGACGAATTATTCAAGACGAATAAACTTTGTACTACGTAGGAAATGAATCTTTTTAACCTCACAGGTGTGCACAATCAATCAGCGTGATCGCATAAAAAAATAACAACAACAAACGGCTATGTGAAAGTGTGCTAGTGTATACAGTATAATGTATGTATGTATGCATATAGTGCTTATGGTATATATATATGTATATTTAATTTAAACTCTAAACAAAGGTTTCTGAACCAACTTTAGCTTTGACTTTAAATAACGAAACCAAAACGAAGCTCAAATAAAGAAATATTCCCACAACAGTATTCAACAGAGCGTTCATGTCGTGTCGGCTTTATTCATTTTCATGGTTTTGTTTCAAATGGAAGCTCAAAAACAGAAAACAACAAGAATAAAAACAACAACAATAACAACAACAAAAACAATAAAGAGGAGAAAACAATGGACGTTAGCTTACCATGTACTCCAATAACCTGTTGATCTGAAGTGGCACATATAATGTAAGTATCAAAAATATTCGGAAAGGTACATATTTCTACGTTTGCGAGGTATGTGCTCGTTACCTTTAATATTGTATTTTTGTATTTGAAGATTTTTATTTGATTTTTTCCCTTACCATATTTTTAGATACCGCATTTTTTTCTGTATTGATTTTTCTAATGTCATGAATACTGTACATCTCATTCTCGAAGGCAAAATAAAAATTTTCTTTAAATGGTTTCAATTTTACTTATTTATTTTTTTATTTTAATTTTATATGTATTATTTTTTCTTTTGTTTTGGAACAAGTTCGGACATTGACCATGTTAGGCAATCGGACTTTGCGTACAATTCTTACAAACATGACATGGTTAATTCGGCTCAAGTGCGGCTCCATATTTACTTTCAAGCCACAGATTGAGTGTTGACTGTTGAGTGTGCATGCATCATACTGCTAAGAGGCATGTAAAAAGAAATGTAATTTTACATACTCGCATACTCACATACTCGTACGTCGCACAAGACTCCTCTGATATCCGCATGAGTACGTTCGTTCATGCATACGCATTCTTTTATTAATTAGTTTGTTGTGATGTGACAGTCGAACACCTGCAAATGCTTGGCAATGTTATTGAATAATGGCGGCGGGTTGGGCACTAAGCTGCCAAGCTGCCGAGCTACGAGCTACGAGCTGCGAGCTGCGAGCTGTTAAGTTGTCTATCCATGCTATTAAAAATGTACAGAAAAGATTTTTTTATTTTATAGTGCATACATGTTGGCGTTTAGAATAAATACTTAGTAACACAATAACAAAATAAACTTTTTACACTCGTAGATGCTTTTACTTATGTTTTCTCAATTTTATAAATTCTAGTCTATACGGGTGGTAATTAGTTTCATACGTATTTTTGGATGCTCTAATAACAAGTGTTAGCTAATAAGAAATACTAAATATAATTGAGAAGAAATAAAAATAATTATACTTAATAAAATAAACTCAAAATATTGCAAAATAGAATTCCTTTTAAAAAATAATGTAATTGGATAAATGTTCACTTTTCTAGATTTCAATAAAATCAAATTTTATCTACTGGCGCTTGTAATGCGTTAGCACCTTCTAATTACTTCATAGAGAAGACATGGTCTTTCTTCAACTGCCGCTTCAAACACCTTCTTGACTTCGCCATCCAACGTCATCCATTCTCACAATAAGTCGAAGTTGTGAAGCCTATGGATGCTAATTCAATTAATCCTTATAAACTCGTAGAGGACCAAAGCTCCTACAAAAAACTTTTCTTTCGAATATTCTCACTGCTGACTCATCCGTTCGACGATGTACATTTCTGTTAGTAACCCTCATATTCTTCGGTTTATTCTTACTCATCGCCAAGCCCATTTTTTCAGATTCTTTTTAGTTAGCAGCAATAATATCACGTTTGTTAAGCCCAATGACGTCGAAGTAGTTGGCGTCAGCATGGAGCTGTACGCATATGTATAATATTGTTTCATTACGATGAACGTCTGCCCTACGCATAAGATACGACTCCAGGACAAAATTGAAGAGATCACATAATAGGTGATCATCTTGCCTGAAGACTCGCACGAAAATAAAAGGTTTGAAGGGAGTCGATCCTACATTGATGGGGCTACAGCTACTTTCAACGTTATTCTGTAGAGTTCTATTAACTTCATAGGTAGGATTATGTACGTGATGCCTTATGAGTCTATAGAATGAGTCTATGTGAATATCCGGTCAATAGTGTGGTGACAAGGTCAAAAGCCGGTGAGGGTCGAATCAATGTTATTAATGCCAAGTAACAGTTTAAAGAAATGTTCCTTCCATAATTTTTATACAGTCTGCTTTCTTTGTAGCATTATGACACTACACGTCATACCATTGGTTTTGTTGAGGTTTCACAAATTTAGTTATGGTTATATGAATACCAAAGAGCGTCGCAAACAAGGTAACAAGTCGGAATATGGTGGAAAACACCTAAGACATAGTTTTAAAAGATTATCAAATAGAAGTGAGCGAGACTACCGACGTAAATAAAATCTCACCTAAAGTAAAGAGAAAACCATGAACTCGTTAATAATATGAACATTTGATTATAAAAAAGTTGGCCGTAAGATGAAAGTAATGTTTACGCATAGTGAATTAAAAACGTATCTATATAATCACTTTCAATAAATTGCATCGCTTTATATTGTAGAATTGTAGATGGTTTCATATCTGGAGTCCAGTGGTGTAACCATGAACATCGGATATGAGGCAACAGTTGAATCAGTAGACTTCTGTAATTTAGCATGCTACAAAAAGACAGTTCAATTAGCAAAAAAGTTAATGGCTCATTATGGTTCATTAGCAATTACAACAGATTTGAGATTTGAGATTTACAACAGATCCATCGTGTTCACTATATTGACTCCATCTTATTAAATTTACATATGTATTAAAAATGGATTGCTGGGGAAATACGTTGCAAACAACGTATTCAAAAGTAGTCTCTGCAACTAATATAATATAAGTACACGATAAGTACTTCAAGAAACTGAGTTTGAATACCATTGCAGTAAGTGTATAAATCTTAAAAAGAACTATGTCAAAAACAAATTTAAGAGTAAGCAAATATTACTTTAATCACTAATTTATTCAAATATCTCGTAAATGTAGAACAAATTAGGTTAATTTGGCTAGCTGTAAACCATGCATAGATCTGTTGGTCACTAGCGATAACAGATAGAGCTGAATCTTCATGTAGAATTTGTAATATTTATTTTTGCCTGTCTATGGTGTGCGCTATACCAAACATTTACAAAAGTTTTTTTTAAGTGTGTTATAAGATCCGACCTTACAAGGACTTAAGACCCAAACCCTGTATGTCGAATCTCAGGCACATTCGCACTGTCCTATCTCACAGTCTAAATGCACATTAAAAAAATAACAATTTTTTAATCTGTCTTAAAGTAGTAAAAAAGCATAGAAACACCAGTAGTGATATATAAAATAAATAAATGATATAAATTATTATCTATCTTACGGAACTTAGTAAATTTTCAATAACAAATCACAGTAATAAATATTGTTACTCATTAATACACTTGTACTATTAACCTATTATATGCAATGGTTCACTAAATATTTATATGTAAGTAGTTATTGTTAACAAAACAGCATTATATTTCTATGCAAATTATGTCCAAAACTTAAACAAATAATTTTGTAGGGTGTAATTACTTAAAAAAATTTTCACAAATCAAATTTGATTTGAATATTTCTAACACGATTTCATTTCATTTTCAGATAATAGGCACTGGTGAGGGGTGCAGTTTTAGTGTTACGAGTACGCTGATAAACATATATACATATAATTATTAAGCTTGATAGGACGGTCCCGCCAACATTTAAGCTGTGACAAACAATCTAGTAAAATGTGACAGAAATGTAAAATAAAATGAAATAAAATAAAAGTATCTAAGAATAATCCATCAACACCGATATTAGATTATTGCAGCTGTTAAAGTTGCTAGCTGCTTGTGAAACGAAAACTAACACCAAGTCTTTGCCGACTTGACCCCAACTCCAAACAAGTTTTAAAGTGCATGGAGTTCAAGCGCTGTACACAGAGGGTAGGCCCACCGTTGTGTGGTTGATCATAATGACGCCACGAAAATTGTTATTGTCGTCTGAGTGATATTTTCTTCCGACACGTGGCCGCTGATCACGACATGTTCACCAAACGAAGTCAATGAAAAACTATAAAACTAAAAAACTAAAAAACTAAAAAAACAGAATGCAAATTGTAACTTTGTTAAGAAATTTAATTCGCCCCGAATTATGATAGGCTTTATGTACATTTGAGATTTAAGTTATACTCGTAACAATACTTAAGCTTTATGTCGGAAACAAAACACTGATACGAGTATTTATCTGGGTAGCGTGTTTAAAACAGTATCAAACCACGTGTTGTTTCTAAGAATGCTATACTGGTTCACATATAACTACTATTATTTTATATTAATATATTATTTGTTGAATTACGATTTAATAAGTAAGCATTCTTTACTGTATATAACATGTATATTGTTAGTTTATTCTTATGTTTAATCGACTTTAATTGCAATAAATCATAATAAGAAATGAAAAAAAAAGAATATTAATCTATATCACAAATAAAAACAATTTTATTCTTCAGTATAGGCTCCCTTTTCGCACAAAGGTAAGTCTAGTTTGAGTTTCCTGGCATTCTAATATAGCAAGAAATGAGCGAGCAGACAAGTTTGCTAGACTGGATGCCCCTATTTCAACCCCTGCCTCTGCTAGCTACATTCGGAGGTTGATGTATGACAATTTTTTGTGACAGGCAAATAGTGAGTGGACTCTAAAACCCTTAGCAGTCAGATGAAGAGCTACATGGCCAATCTATTCTAAATGTAGAACTTCTGACTTGATGCACAGAAGCAAATCGGAGGTATCTATGTTAATAGATAGCAGCCGTATGTACCGGGTGTCGAAGAAAGGATACCACAACACCTGTTGTGTCTATGTCCAGGCTTGTCTAGAACTAGGTTTAAGTTTTTGGGGCCCCCCTTCTTTAGCACACTCATCGATATCTCCAGCGTTACTTTCGTCTTTATAAATATTTTTCACTGGTTCTAGCTTGGCCATTTTTCTATTCATCATTACGTGGATTTGAGGATTCAAGATGGCATCCTAATTAATGAGGATGCGTTTCTCCCTCCACTTCTACTAACTAACTAACTATAGCCTTCCATGCTACATCTTTGTAAAATAACCACTTTACGAGCATTCAAAACTACATGGATTGTTCTCATGTTTTTGTTTTAGCAATAACCGATTTAGCTATCCAAAGCATTAAGAGCTAAGTGTTTTATGTGTCATGTTTAAATTCAACAAACCACTGAAGAATACTTGGTTTCGACAAAACATATAGTTGTATACCTTCGGTGCTTTGGAAATGGAGCTGTAGCGGGAACTTAGGTATCGTATGATATCTAAGCCTGTATGCAAGGAGGTTAAGGAAATGAAATGTTTGAAATTCCGGGTACTTTTTGGACACAGCGCTCATATATACACATATATATATATATATATATACATATAAATTCCAATAACCTTAAAAGTCGTAATATAATTACTAAGTTCAACCATACAAGTCAATACAAAGCTTTACGGCATGTGCTCTATATAGAGGCGCATGGCTTAGAAATTCATGTCAGGTTTACGT